ATCCATGTCATCATTTACCCACAATGCTTTGCGTGTAAATAAAATGGCTCCGTCCGTGTTAAAATACATATTTTTAAAAATTTACAAAACTAAACAGCCCACAGTATTTTTACAGTCTTTATTTTACAGTTAAAATAAATGTTTATCAAATAAAGTCTAATGTTACAACTAATCATGGATCCCTTTAAATGTGCAATGAGGCTAGGCATACCTACCACTCCCCGAACCCAATTAATTCATTAAAGGCAGATTGAAACACCAAATCTGAACAGAGTTGAATGTCAGTATTCTGTTATTTGTAGTGAAAATTGTATCCTCAATATTGTAGCTAGATATTTCAGTGTTCATATCTGCCACTGGAGCCAACTGTTAGGATTTAGTTATCAGTTGCACCGATCAAGTGTTCATGTTTGATGAGAAGAAGCAATAAAAAATGGAACAAATGATACCCGAGACTTCCTGTTACTATCAGTTCATTTGTAAAGTGTCCTTTAGAGCACTGCCCCACATAGGCAGTCAAATGTGAATAAAAAATACTAATGTTGTGCTCTTTTGAAGTCAGAATTTCTGAGTTACAAGTTGGAAAATATTCTCCAGAACTCATCTTGAAAGGTTGAAGAATTTCGACCAGGCCTGACATCAATAGCTAACACGTGAAAATATCTAATAGCCATGCTTCTGTTGGTATGGATCTTAAAGGGCCAATATTGTGTGTTTCTCATATATTTAAATTCTATACCATAATAAAGTAACTATGTCACCTTCAGTTGTTATTAAAATGCTGTTTTTCTGTTGAAATCAAAAATAAACTTGACTTCTCATCATAACCATTTCTAAACACCTTGAAATTGGCCTCCGTCTCTTTAAGAACCTCCTTCTGATTCTGTCATGCCCATTTCTGCACGTCATCGCAGCCGCTTCTCTCTACAGGGCTCTGCTGTTTACAACCTGGACCATTGTAGCATACTGCAACAGTATACAATATCGGTTTTGGAAAATTGCAACTCAGGATACAAATGAACCTTATCGTCAGACCAGAAAGTGTGTTTTCTAAAGAACCGGAGCGATTACAGAGACGTGTCAGCTGGTAAAATTATTTCAGTTGCTCACACATACACACACATACTGATCGTAACAGACAGTGGTGGGCACCAGCCCACTAAAGCACAAATCCACTAATTGTGGACCAAAATATTTGGTTTGCGCTTTAACAGTCTTACTAATTTTTATAATTCATAAGCGGATTTGCACTTTCTAAAATTAAAATGCAGTACTGCTAATAACTAATTATCTACCAGTCATCATTATCTTGAACAGCAGAAGGTATGACTGTTAATGAATCACATCATGTGATCCATCCAACAGCACCCCTCCCAGATAAACACACTTATTGTGAAGGTATTCATCCTGCTGACTGTTGCTTTGGGTCACAGTTCTCATTTCCCACAATGCTTTCTGTCTGCTTACGTAGCAGGAAGGCAATGGTTAGAACTATGTGACCGGGCAACACTCCCTGTCCCAGCAAAAACAGTAAACATTTGTAATCCATACTAAAATTAGTATGTATTGATTTATTTTACTTTACAATCAGAGCTCCTTGCAGAAATGATTTAAAGATGTTATGCTGATGAAGACAGACAGTGGTCAACTGGAGCGGCAACAAATGTATGGAAAACTTTAAAATCCAAGCTCTTATTTTGAAGGGAAGATAGTTTCCTGTTCTCCGTGCTTTCGTTTCCTGTCACAAATCAAATCCATCATGTTCCCAGAATGCATCACTTCAGTTTTCCAATAAACAGTTTTAAAATTATTTTATTGATGCTTCTTTAATGAAAAATCTACAACAAACAAAAGAAAAAGACAAAGAAGCAGCCGAACTAGAAATCCTCAACAACTTTTTAATTTTTACACCAGGAGCTAAAGGTCTGTTTCATGAAATCACATCCCCAGCAATTGGCAGTTGTAGAATCAAGTTGTAAAAGAGTTCATACACTGATAAATTGCAGTATTGTATAATGAAAATGAGTTGTTGCCAGCCAGTAAGTGTCAATTTGAACTTGTGCTTTAAAATTAGTTTTTCTATGGCATAAGTGCTTTTGATGTTGCAGACCTAAATATATTCTTAAGCACTTTAAAAATTGTGGGGCTAATTCTGGGATTAGCCCTGCCCACTGGGGGTGTAAGAAAATATCGATACACTGAAATATCACAATATTTCATTTCCCGATACTGTATCGATATTCTAAAGCCCTGTATCGATTTTTCATTACGGTTTAAAATGTCAACTTTCCTGCCAACCGTTCATTTTTATGTTGTAGTTCAGCCTCTGACCACTAGTTGGCAGCAGTGAGCCAGACATTTGGCTCCTCTACCTCTTGAGGTAGAGGCTATTGTTA